TGTGGCCGGAGAAGCCATGTCAGTCGCCTAGTTAGGTAGGTGCTCTTACCCTTTTATTTTATTTGCATTTTTGTTTTTATATATGTTACAAAATAATTTATATTTTATTTTATTTTATGTTGATTTTTTTTTATTTTTTGTAAATTGTTTTTTATTTTGTGTGAATGTTGGTGAATTTTTTGTTGTAATTTTGAATGGATAATATTTTGTTGTCATAAATAGGATTTGTTTGAAAATTTGAAGTTTTTAAGTTTTGTTCTTTGTATTTATGCTTTCTTTATAGAATTTTTGTTTGTTGTAATTTTGTAATAAGATGGGATAATATTTTTATTTGGTAAAATTTATTAATGAATGGGATACATAAAAAATTGGACCTTAAGTCAAATTTGTAAAAAATAAATGGCACAATTTATTTATAAATAATTGTTAACTGTTAAAAAAAATTGTGAGTAATTTTTTGAATTACTTAATTGAAATATTTAGCATAGACTAAGTGTAGAGTAGGTCATTTAATGTATAAATTATGGAAAAGTCTATCTATCTAAATAGGAAATTGTTAATACATATTTTTATATATAATTTTCGCGGGAAAGAAAAAAATAATAATATTAAAAAGGAACTTAGAAAGGACCTAAATATGATTGGAATTCATATAAACGCTCCTCTTTTTCATTTAAGATTAAGAAGTGGATACAGTGGTAATTATGATATGTCTATATCCGCACGTTATGCCTCTTAGCATATCGAATAGCAGCACTATTCTGAATAAATTTTGCGTCATCTTATTTTTTAGCGGAAAAAGAATATAAACTACCCTCGTTGTACAAATGTTTACTTCAACATAAATTTCGAAACTCTCACAAGAAAACGGGATTAATCATTTTTCAAAAGACCCATAATCAGTGTGATGTCTTTCTTTAATTTTATTCTATAGTAGGCTAAAAACTCTATAAAGACTGGCCCATGGCAATCCATAAGAGGTAATGAGCGATTCTTTATTATTAGTTTTTTTTGATTCTCCTATTTAATCTATTTTAACCGGTCCAAGAGCAGCGCTCAATTTACTGCTGGCTCTCACAAGCGCCATCTTCAAACAGCCATCCCTCAATAACTACAAGAGCCGCGTTATGGTGAGACTTTGTTTTATGTCATCTTGACACTCATAAAGGCCTACTCGGGCAATATTGTGGGTTAATAAATACATATGATATCATCCTATTTATTGCGTGAATACACACGCATTGTCATATGCTTCATCCAAACTAATCACATTCATTGGATTCATTACTCTCATTGGTAGTGGGTTGTATATCCAATCACATGAAGTGAGTAGTTATATGTATGGGTCCTAAGTAGTGCCATTTATTTCTACTTTCGGCCGGAAATATCGCGCCACTGTTTGAGGAGGTCGATATTATTAAGTGGTGTATTTGGAGTGGTTCATTGCTCATATTAATCTTCGAGATTTATGATTATGTAATATGACACTAAAAGTACCATGCCAGGAAATTCTAAAATACTGAAAAAGGAGGGTGATCTCTAGCGCACTTAGTCTATAGCTACCTATAGTAGATAAATGTTTATCATCAAGTATTAATTATAGTTAACCTTTTTAGAAGATGAGCACTGTACTTTAAGATTGGTGGCAGTTGTGAATTGTATACTACAAATCGTACACTTATTGATATTATAGTAAGTTTATATATATATAGTTAACCTTAGTTAGAAATAACCTTAGTAAGTTTATATATATATATAGTTACCCTTATACATATTTATACATATGTACCACATGTTCTACAATTCATATAATTGTATATATACATATATATATTCTATTATCTATATTGCGGATGGCTAGAGACAGGGCGGTTGACTTAGATGCCTCCGGCAGTGGTTCGCGTGGAGGTCGTGGCCGAGGACGCAGTACACATGGACGAGGATGATATTTCTTAGATTGTCGTTATTTTTTCATATTTTGAATAGTACATTACATTTACAGTTCTTTCTTATATTGTTATTGTTTCTGATGATGCTTGTGATATGTATATATATGTCAATTTTTGACAATGGAAAAAATTATGGTTTTTAATATTATTAAATTTTTTATGTAGAATGGTTTTATTATTTAAGAGTATTATTAACACTGTTATTTTTTTCTTGATGCCTCAGCAGTTATTATATTTGGCACGATGTCCATATAAGCGGATCCGAAGCTAGAGTGCTCTCCAAATTCTCAAATTTTATAATTATGAACGTGTTGTATAGAATTTTTCTTATAGTTAGTTTCTCGGAGTGGAGTACGCCAACCAAGAGTTGAAATTCAGAATTAATAAAGCGATATTGCTTCTAGAATATTTATAAAATAAAATGCAGAGAACAATCACACAACTTATAGTCTGCAAAACGTGAACCACGTTTAATTCGTGTCTGCTAGAATTTGCGAAACTAGTTTATTTATTATATAATTGCCGGAAACACTAAATTTTGAGTCTCGATTTCGCTTATATTGCAAGAGTCTCAATTGTGTCTATTTGCGAACGTGAGCAAATATTAATGCACCAGATTTTAATGTGCCTTTAGCGCACACATCAGAAATCCGTTACAGTTCTATTTTAGCGAAATCACTCAGTGTATCGATAGATTTCACCCAGATCTAATGCATCTTTAAAAGTTTAACTCTAATAATATGATTTTCATGTTATTTGGAGTTTCTTATAACTGTGCAACTAAATAATACAATGACTCCAATCTCAAGAAGAAGAGCGACTAAAAATCACTACAATGAATAGTGAACAAAGGAAATCGCAGATTCTAGAAGTCGATATAACGCGAAGCACTGATAATAGTAGCGAATATATATATTATGAGTTCGACTGCAATATTATATAAAATGAGAATGACGTATTGCGAGCCAGGATATCACAGAGAAGATAATGTAAGAAATTACTTGCTATCAACAGCGTGTTTATATGAGGAGAATGCTATGCACCTCAAATAGAAAATACCACTTGTAATGTGTAGAGTGGAATAAAGAGAATGTAGACAGCGAGGAATACATTAGTATAACACGCACTCGCATATCTAGAAAAGTATATGCCTCTGTTCTAGCTTAATAAATTAGAGGTCAAATTACAACGTATACTATCCTTTACGATATAAGTAAGTCCTACCTCATTCTAGTATCTATTGGAGTTGAATGTCTTTGATGATCAATTCATGACAAATTAGATCTCTTTATAAACTTTTATCATTTTTGTGTGGCATAGTGTAAAAACACTCAAAGTATAAATTAGTTGATGTTGTGTGATCCGACAAACTTAATGAAAGTCAATCCTCAGAGATATTTATCAACAACCGGAAAAGTCATGATTATTTAACAAACGGAAAGAATAGATAATATATTCATTGCACCATAATTTAAATGTTTTGCTAAGCACAAGATTCCTTTATGCGCGAGTACTGTTCCTTGTGGTCACTCTAAATCTCAAGTAAGAGGACAAAGCGGTAGTGATGTTTATGACTTATTATATTTTGCGATCGACTAGCGACCGAACTGCAATCAAATTATAACCGTTAAATTTAAATTTGCGACAGATCGCCAACCAATTAATTTCAGAATTTATAACCGATTTGCGCCCGCTTTTGATAAATGCGACCAACACTTTGTGCGATCGATTAATCGGTCGCTAATTTGCAACCAATATTTATAATTTTGCGACTAATTAGTCGATCGCTAATTTGCAACCAATTGTCTATTTGCGACGAGCACTTTTGCACCGATTAATTCCTGTTGCAAAATCGGTCGCTACATTCATTTAGCGACTGATTTCTTATATTTTGTCGGTCGCAACTTATCGATTTTTTTGTAGTGCTAGAACTTCAAAATTAATTACCCACTCAAGAGAGAGACAAAATCCACAATAGGCAGAAACCATCTAGAGCTAGAGATATAAAGAGGAAGAAATTAATCGAGCAAAAGAAAAGAGATTGAGATGCACAGAGACAGAGATAGAAACTGCTATCAAGCGAAAATGAAGTGATAAAAAATATAGAGAGTGAAATGGGTGTAGAAGAGAAAAAAAAATGACGCATATCGAGCAAAGTTAGGTCTTTGATTAAGGTAATGCAAGACAGTTAGATGAGTCCTATGTTGATATTTTTATATTTAAAATTCTAACTTTAACTTTATTTTAGGGTGCAATTATCACTCAAGTATAATTAGGATGGTTGTGAAACAAAACTCATTCTAGAAATTACAACAACCGGAAAAGTCAGATTGATAGTATATCATGCCCCTAATAAAAGTTTTGCAGCAATGCTTATGCGCATACGTTTGTGCACTCAAACCCAAAAAGGCGCTATATTTATGCTGGCGTTGAACCATTGGTTCTCTTTTGAGTACTTTTTGAAAGCAATTTACTATAAATATTTGGAAAAAATATTATTTTGTCTCTGAATTTTGATTAAATTAACATATTTATTTATGTATTTTAAATAAATTATTATGACATCTCTAATTTATAATTTCGTCTAACATATTAATGTTAAAAATTGTATCGTTTAACAAAGTTTAGCATTTTCCAATCATAAAACGTTTTTTTTTTTTTTTTGAAAGCAAATTATAAAACGATTTAGAATAAAAACAGTATGATACCATTCCTAAACAAAATGGCATATTACTTTATAAAAGGTACCCTTAATAGTTAGATTCTATTCATAATGAGACCAATCATCTTTTTGTTTTTTTTTTTTCAACAGAATCAATCATCAATTTTCTTTTAATAGAATCGGATCATTTCATTTTCAGAACAATCAAACAATTAATTTAATATAATATATTTAGTGCACTATTGCTTATTTTGACCTTTTTTTTGAAAGGAAAAGGGATAAGAGTGACCTTAAAAAAAACTGTAAGTACACGTAAATAGCCTAAAATTGCCCCATTTTGCATGGACCACCACTATCTTCCTTACCTCTATAAAACCCTGCTAGTCTGTCTAAGGTAGTATAGTTTTGAATGCCTCCAAGAGTTACTATGTCTTCTACAAGGAAGCTTATTTCAGTGTTTGGTCATCAATCAAGCATCTCACACAATTTAACCACCATTAAAACTTCTTCTGATGGAGCCTGGCAAGGTGATAATCCCCTAAACTATGCCTTCCCATTATTGATAGTTCAAACAATCATTGTCCTCTTCGTCACTCGCTCCCTCGCCTACCTCCTAAGGCCCCTTCGACAACCTCGAGTCGTTGCAGAAATAATTGTATGTTAATTTTTACTTTTTCTTTTTTTTTTATGATTTTCTTTATTATGTTTCTTGAAGTAATATTATCAATCAACTTTTATACGTGGAAATAAATTTTATCTCATAGGAGGGTTTGGTTGTAAGAATACTATGATAAAATAATTTTAAAAAGTAAGATTTTAGTATTTGGTTACATATATTGTCAGGAACATTCAATTTCTGAACTTGTGGGTTTATTTCCTATATACATGGAAAATTAATTCCTCATTCCAAAGGGTGAAAAAAAATTAAATTCTTATAAAAAATAATTATATATTAAAAAAATTTAATAACATCAACACCCTTAGTTGTTTTTCGTTTTCCCAAAAAATTTATATACCTAAATATGATAATTCAACATTCCTAAATCTTCTACCTTAAAAACTAATTTTCTAGAAAAATACTTTTTTTTCCTAAAAATATAGAATTCCGGTAACCAGATACCTCCAACTTTATGTCTATCATAGTTAATGGATACCGGTGAAAAAAAAAAAAGAAAAGAAAGAAAGAAATCTAAATATTTTGGTAAATTTTTAATTACATCCAAACTCTTAAAAATCTATTATATCATAAATCTAATATTCCCTCCATCCTATTTTGTTTGCTTGTTATTCCTTTATTGGATGTCTTAAAATATTTGCAAGGTTTCTAAATTTAGACATGTAAATAATTATTTTTTCCGTAATAACCTTTATGATCCTTCATTAAATGAGAGACTTTTATTAATATTTTCAATGAGTTAAGGGTAAAAAATGGCAAAATAACTTTCGTCGACTAAATTTTCATGTTTTATCAAACCATGCAAACAAAATAAAACGAAAAAGAGTATTAGTTTCAGTTTTATTGGACAAGTCAAAATTCTATTTTAACTTTAATTTCAATAAAAATTAAAATTTTAATATTTATTTTCCCTGTCTCATATCTTTTTATCTCTCGTTAGTTCCTCTCTCTCTCCACACGAAAAAAAACAGTTTTATAATTTTTTTTCTTTCATTAAATTAAAGTATATCAAAGATAAGAATTTAATTGAATTTAGTACCGAATTTATTTCCGGAAAATAATTTACTTTTAAAAAATATTTTTAAAGGAAAATGTTTTTCTTGAAAAATATTTTCCAAATTAACTGTTCACGTTGTTTGATTACAATATTAAAAATTAATTTAAAATATTAAAATTTCATATTTTAAAAAATTTATTGTTAAATATAAGAACAGTAAAAAAAATAGTAAATTATGAAAGTTGCCCGTGATCGGTAGCGGTGACAGATTATGGTGGCTAATGGTTAACTTATGATTCTTGAACGTGCTAAACAATGGAAAACTGTAGTAAATGATTTCTTTAGGAAATAAAAGGAGTCTTAGGTTTATAAGGATGAAAAAGAAAGGTTGCAATGTAGCTAGGTGGGCGGTGTACAAAGGAAAAAATTTATTTATTTTCTTCATTTTTGACTTGTTGGGTAAAATAATTTTTTGATTCTAATGTACTATTTATCATTTTCAATGGATTGAGTATTATTTCAGGGTGGAATTTTGCTCGGACCGTCAGCTTTTGGCCGGAAAAAAGAATTCTTTCAAATATTGTTCCCTTCGTGGAGCACTCCCATACTGGAATCAGTAGCCAGTATTGGTCTTCTTTTCTTTCTTTTCCTTGTAGGTCTTGAGCTTGATTTAAGCACGATCCGCCAAAGCGGTAAAAGAGCTTTTGGGATAGCAGTTGCTGGCATCTCTCTTCCATTTCTGTTCTGTGTTGGAGTATCCTTTATTCTTCGCAAAGCCATTCATGTTGAAGAAACAATCTCTTATGGTCCATATCTCTTGTTCATGGGAGTCTCTCTCTCTATTACTGCTTTCCCTGTTCTTGCACGCATTCTTGCAGAACTTAAATTACTTACCACGCATATGGGCCAAACAGCCTTAGCTGCTGCAGCTTTTAACGACATAGCGGCATGGATCTTGTTAGCACTAGCTGTAGCCCTCGCCGGCGGGGATTCAAAGAGCCCGTTAATATCCATATGGGTTCTCATTTCTGGAGTTGCTTTTGTTGCTTTTATGATGGTGGTTGTCCAGCCTATGATGAACTGGGTTGCAAGAAAATGTTCAAGCCAACAAGATTTTGTAAATGAAGCATATATATGCCTAACCCTAGCTGGAGTAATGTTATCTGGATTTACGACAGACCTTATAGGAATCCATGCAATATTTGGTGCTTTTGTGTTCGGTTTAACGATCCCCAAAGGAGGAGAATTTGCATCAAGACTGACAACAAAGATAGAAGATTTTGTGTCGGGTTTACTTCTTCCACTTTACTTTGCTTCAAGTGGGTTAAAGACAGATGTTGCTCAGATCCGAGGAGTTGAGGCGTGGGGACTTCTGGTGCTGGTTATATCGACGGCATGTGCAGGGAAGATTCTGGGGACATTTGCGGTGGCTATGTTGTGTATGATTCCGGCAAGGGAATCATTGGCACTTGGGGTGTTGATGAATACAAAAGGATTGGTGGAACTCATTGTTCTCAATATTGGCAAGGAGAAGAAGGTAAGTTCTCAATTTGATTTTCCTTCCCTTCTTTGAAGCAGAATCTCCTTCCTGCAATCGCCCTCTCCCTTGTAACACAGTAACTGCTAACTAGTAGTGTATAAAAGAAAAGGAAAATATTTAATTTATAATGTTTATAATAAACGGTAGTTTTGAATTGAAAAAATTGATACTTATGTCTACATTTGTCGTTGTAAAGTATTTGGAATACTCAGAAAATTCATTCAATAGGAAATATCTTCACCAATGAAAATAATAATTCGCTAGTCACCATCATTTGTCATCGCAACTTTTGGCTACCTTTACAAGCTAGCAGTGACTATCACAGTTCATCATCTTTTATGCTTATTTTCTCATATAAATATTTAAAATATAAAATTTCTATAATTTTTAAGTTTTTAAACTTACAACGTGCATAATTTTATTAGTGCAACGAGACGGGATTATTCGTTTTTGCCGGTCCACATCTGTTGCGATTTGGTTGGTTTGATGAATATATAAAATACATACGTTGTTCACATTCTGCATTTAGATTTTTTATTTTTATGTCAAATGCACTCATCTAGAGAACATTTTCTTACTCGTTCTTTTATAGTGCGCAAAGCATGCACTTTCATTCAATGGAACCACACCGACCACTATAGCTTAAGTGGGGTTATTTATCGGGTAGCATAATAAAATAAATTGTATAAATATAATTTATAGATAATTGAACATTGATGATATGAACAGGTTCTAGATGACGAGATGTTTGCAATTCTAGTGTTGATGGCACTGTTCACCACCTTCATGACAACTCCAACAGTCATGGCTATATACAAACCTTCGCGACGAATATGCAGAGTAGAGCGCCAATCACCGTCGTTGAAAAACTCCCAAGAGCAGCCGATGAATCGGATCCTAGCCTGTGTTCATGGACCGCAAAATGTAAAACCTCTTGTTAACTTGATCAGCTCAACCTCAACCTCAGATGCTACAAAATCCTCCCTCAAGCTCTATGTTATGCACCTCGTTCAACTCACTGATTGTTCATCCTCTATTATGATGGTTCAACGCACACGAAAGAATGGTTTCCCTTTCACCAACAGCTTCTGTAGAGGCACCTCCAACTCCAATGATCAAATTAAAGCTGCATTTGAGGCGTGTCGCCATGTCAACCAACTCAAAATTCGTCACTCAACGTCCGTCTCGGCTTTGTCGACAATGCACGAGGACATTTGCCATGTTGCGGAAGATAAAAGTGTAGCCATGATTATAATGCCCTTCCACAAGCAGTGGAGAGAAGGTAAGGAAGATGAACATGGCTGGATTGAGATTAATCAGAAGGTCCTCAAGACAGCATCATGCTCTGTCGCCATATTCATTGATCGGGGACTCGAGGGCATTGATCTAGAAACTCCAATGCCAAGAAGGATTTGTGTGTTATTTTTTGGCGGTGGAGATGACCGGAAGGCTCTCGAGATGGGTGGTAGGATGGCGGCACACCCAGCTATTAGTATGACTCTTATAAGATTCACAGTCTTGTCCAAAATCTCGACCGAAGAGGTAAGACTTTTCTAGTCATCTCATTTACTACTAACACTACTTTGGAAAGGAACGCAGATTCATTTCCTAGTGACATTTTAATTGGAGCAGGAAAGTGACATAGCAGCAGTAGAAGAGTTCAAAAGGTGTAACGGATCAGTGGAGTACATAGAGAAGGATGTGAACAACATAATAGAACAAGTGGTAAATATAGGGCGAAGTGGAGCTTTTAATCTTTTTATTGTAGGAAAAGAAGCTGCAGTAGCAAAATTGGCAGACATTCAGACAGAGAATGCCGGGTTAGGCCTTATAGGAGACATTTTAGCTTCATCAAACAATCGCATAAAAGGATCTGTGCTGGTAATCCAACAAAACAACCCTGAACATTCTAACGAGACCACCGGGTCAGAAATCGCTAAAGGCAAACAAACTATGCACACCAATCTTTCGGTCTGACAAAAACAGTAATGTACTTATACCAATGCGCATCACCAGAACCAGTAATTAGATTTCGTTGCAAGTTCTATAGCTCTAGTTCCAAGCCACAACCGATTGTTCAGTTAGAATTATTGAAATAAGTAGGTCGAACTATGGACTACCGATTGCTGTTAACTGATATAATGGTGGTTGGGGATTTGCAGTATGTATTTATAAATATCTACCTGTAATAAACAGTTCCTTTGGCTAAACACCATCACATCAAGAGCCCCTAAAAAGATCATTGTTACTTTCGCAGTCCATTCATGTTGTCATAATTTGAGGGAAACAGATAGCTAAGCCAGATGACATACTGTCTGGTTCACTTATTTGAATTTAAAAAAATAATAATAATTCACTGTGATTTAGAAGCGCACAACCCAGAAGATCAATGAAAACTAATTGGCTAGGTCATTACAAATACAGAGCAAATTTGATTTTTCAAGTCACAAATAATGTTTTCCTCAAACAAATAATGCAGTCCTCTTTGATTGGGCAAATTAGCCCTTCCTGTTCAAAGTTATATATATATGATCTAATTTCAAACGTACCAGATCTTTTCAGAAAGGTAGATAAAATTTTTGAGATCAAACAAGAGGAAAAACAAGAGAGAGAAAAAAGAAAACATAAGTATGCAGCAAATATACCAACCTCCACAAAAGCATTCCCCATTCACAACAGATCTGATCTGCAACCAACACTTTGAAATCAGTTGCAGTCAACTTAATTTCAATTCCACCAATTTGATGTCATTGCAACCAACCAGTCATCAGTTTTCAAGCTGCCGAACATATGTGCATCAACCACGTTGTTGGCAAAAATATATTGCAGGTCTACCTGGTCAACCAATAGATAATTTCAAATCTACAATATTTTCAAAATTCAATCTTTCTAAGACATACGATAGAAATATGCAACAAAAAGAAAACAAGAAGGGGCCAATGGACAAGCCAAACAAATCTTCCAGCAACTCATTTTTCAACACAAACTGCAAATAAAGTTAAAAGAAAACAGAAAATAATTAAGTTATTTAACAACAATACCTTAAAGAAATCCTCCTCCTGTCCATGTGTCATCTGATTTCCCGTTAGGACCAACGGCTTTCTTATCAGGTTCACGCTGGTAGAAATTATCATCAAATCCATCATCCTTCCCATCATCCCAACCAGCCCAACCATCATTACTACGTGTTCCAGTGCTCTTTGTGCTATCTTCCTTCCTAACGTCTTTTTGATCCCAATCATCCCAAGAACTTGAGCTATAAGAATTATAATTCCCGCTTGATGATGATTGTCCTCCAGCAGATGATGAATTCCATCCTTTATTTTCTTGTTTATTAAATTCCTGATAATATCCATTGCTTTCACTTTCATTTTGTTGCCAGTTATCAGCCTTCCACCCATCTTTAGACAACTCTTCCACCTTCTGAGTGGCCATAGCCATGACCCCCCTCATAATGCCCCATGTCCTTTGTCCAATCTCTGTTGTTTTTGCAGCAACAACATTAACAGTTTCATTCACCTTGTAATCATAGCCACCCTCCTTCACCTGTAAACCACAGCATATTCATAAACCACCTTTATATAATTCCAATTTTTTGTACGTGCTGTGGTAACTAGCAAAAAAACAAAGTTCACATAATAAGGATCTTCAAAATCAAGTTTTTCAGCAAACAAACTGCATAAATTAATAAAAGACAGATGTCAAAGGCCTCACAAAGACATTCCCAAATAGAACAGATGGCACATACTAGATGAGAAAGAATTAGTTATTTATGCATATAAGTCGACAGAAAGACGCACAATTTAAAAAGAAGGTATACAAATGATCCAGCTGGTATCTTATACAACCCAACAACTAGTGGTGTGCATTTGGGCAGTTCAGTTCCCAACCAAACCGCAAAACTGAAATTCTACATTTTTTTTGATAACCGATCCAAACTGTTCTAAAATAGAAACCAAACTGCAATTTTCGCTTCGGTTATCGAATATCCAAACTTCTTTTATTTCATATTAAGTTTTAAATGTTAGCCAAAATCTGAAAATTTAAGTTAAACTTAAGAGCATAGTTGGTGCAAAACGACACTGTATCCAAACTTCAGTTCGGTTAACTAAAAATTTTTTTCCTCCAAAACCAAACCAAACCAAAACACCAAAATTTCTTCAAACTAAACATCGTATCAGAAATATATGGGTTCAGTTCAGTTTTCAGTTTTTTTTTTCAAAGTTTGTTCACTCCTACCAACAACTAGAACACATCAAGGCTATTAATAGAAAATTACACCATTCAACTAAGCAGTCAAAAACAGTATCAACAGCATCAAGGCCTCACATAAACTTCAATCTAACAGCCTCGTTAAGTCAACCACAGTTTACAATAATTACCTCAAAACAAAAACCATTGAACAACTAATAGTCTTAGTTGCCAAAACACTCAACCATCATCTCAATTAGAACCAATAAATACCAACAGATTGTTTACTATTGAGCAATCAACTGCCACTGCAGCCTCTATTACTTGATGATCTTTCTTGCCATGCTTACCACATAAGGCTCCCTGTATTTTTCTGAGTTTGAAGCCTACCAAACCCTAACATGCAATGGGATGTTGCCAACTCCCCATGGAAAAGGGTAATAATTAGTAAACATAAAACTATTATAATTTAGTCTGAGAGCAGCCCTGGTTTAGCTTGGCTGGGGCAGAGTTTCAGCCTGCCTTCCACCGAATATAAAAAAACATTAGTGTCTACAATGTCCATGCTAAGTAAGCAGATAGCTTAGTTGTTCTGAATCTTTAGCTTGTACGTAGTTAATTAAAGAAACATTCGAACCAAAAGCTTCGGTGATAACACCACCACAAACTATTACGAATCCTTTTTCAAATGCCAGCTGGCCTTATTTAAGCCACATTGCTGCTAATCCAACAAAGTAATTTTAGAATCGCTTTACAATAGTTCAACCCTCTTTACATTTATATTTACATGAGAATTATCATGCCCATAAACTAACAAAAAAACCTAACAAAGGATCAGTTATCAGTATCTTTATAGAATCAGCAATGAAATAACAGAAATGTCAAGTCAGATCTCTGCAGTTTGAAGAATCACAATGTTCCTAGCTTCATTCAACATATAGTTACTAAAACAATTCAAAATTAGAATTGAGCAATTATACAACAACAAACAACAAGCAAGCCTTAGTCCCGAACTAGTTGAAATACTTTGATCAGGTTAAAGTCAATATAATTATAGTTGGGGTCAGCTATATGGATCCTTTGTTTTATATCCTTTGTTTCAGGTTGAAGTCAATGCAAAGCAAAATATAAATCGGAAAAAAAAAAAGTTTTGAAATACAATTTGTAAAAGAAATTTTTGAAGAGCAATTATACAACATATAAATATGGAACATATACTGCTTAAACGCATTGCTCATGCAAATGAACATATGTGGAAAAACAAATCCAAATACCTTGGAAGTAAGCTCTTTCGTGCCGGCTTGGACAACATTCGCAGCTGACTGAGCCGCAGATGCAGCAACAAGAGATAATCTACCAAAACCCTGCATATCAAGCCCGTTACAATTTGTTCATTTGATCAACAACCTACAGATAATAATTTCCCCAATCTCCCAATAATAATATTAACATTATTAATAATAATAATGCATAAGACTCCAATCCAATACCTGAGACATAACAGATAGGACATCCGGTTGTGAATTATTCTGGGAAAGTGCAGGACTCGATCCAAATCCCACATACTTTCCGCCTTGCGAAGGCGGGATGCCTTCAGGCCGTGATTCATTTTCTGACATCTTATTAGCGAAAAAACGCTCCTTATTAGCCGCAGAAGCATCCAATTGCGCTCTAGTATAAATATCATGGGTTGATTTAGACCTCACGGGTACACCTCCATTTCCAGTACCGTTATTACCCCTAAAATCGCTAGCGGATTGATTCCTTCTGATCTCATTCGAAGATCTAAACGAATCATCATTGTCCCAACTATCCCATCCTCCATTATTACTACCAAAACTGGTATTATTATTATTATCTCTTCCAGCAGCAGACTGAGCCAGCGGTGGCTTTTTCTTACTACCGACGGTTTCCTTAACCACCGGAGGGTCCCGCCAAGGTCGACCTTCGGCCAAGGCCTGGATACGATCCCGGTAAACGCTAGCTGCGTTAGTATTATACTTAGTAACAATATCGGTCTCTTTGGAGATTCCATATTGAGCTAAGAAGGCGTTAAGCCTTTCATTACCTCCAGCTTCCATTTTCTTGATCTGGATCTCGGACCATGAATCCATGGTAACGGATCGGACGAAGGAAATGTGAACGCCGAGGCCACGGTGCTTGCCAGAACACTCTAGGCACATGAAGATTCCGTAGGACACAGATGCCCATTGCGGATTCTTCTGGGAACAATCGACGCAGATCTTGTTCCCCGGCTGCGATTGCAGGTCCCGGAGCCGCCTCGATGCCGCCATAAGGGATCCGATCCGGGCAATCTGAATCCGATTCTTAAACAAGAATTAAAAGAGGGGAAATTATAAAGGTGAATATGAAAATATGGGAGAGAGAGAGAGAGAGAGAGAGAGAGAGAGATGGAGAATGCGTGTTTCGGTGTTTGTTTAGACAGAATTAGGGGATCTCACCGACACCGCGAAAACGTTGCGGGTGTTGGTGATGGTGCGCAATTACGCGAACCTCTACTGTCAAAATGTAATGTAACCAGAGGATGTCGCACGTGTGGTTCGAGCAAATTCGAGGTTTTTTAAGGGCTCTTGGCAGTTCAAGGCTGCCGGTGGCTTCCACCATTAAACATAGAAACATTTGGTCAGGTTATTTTTTTAATACTGTGCTATCTATTTGTTATAATTTGGCTAACTGTGGCATGGATGGTTGATTAGACCGTGGGTTCCATGAACCGATGGCCAAAATTTTTTTAAATGTTGAATTTGAACTGATTTTTAATTGTGGAATTCAATCCGATTTCGGTTATGATCGGTGCCGACATGATTACGATGATTCAACAGTTTTGATTACAATTTTCAACTAATATGTATTATTTTTTAAAAAAAAAGTTCTACAATTATATCTTTCTTTTAAAAAGATCAATATGAATTTTAAAAAATATTGATAAACTTCATTTTGAATGACTTTCAAAATATTCATACACATATAAAAAATAAAATTAATTAATTTTACAAAATAATTAAATAATATATTATTTATTTTGTCTAAATGTTATTAATTAAATAAATTGTTAGAAAATTTTAAAAAATATTTCAAACAATAAAATAAGTAAAAAATTTAAAAGGAAAAAAAATAATAAAATCCCATTTGTATCAAAAAATATAATTTTAGACTAAAATTTTGCTTTCTTTTACCATTATACTATTTTAGATTTTTAACATTTTTTTAAGTAAAGTGTATTTTAAAAAATTTTTTAAAGAAAGTTTATCATGCAGTAAAAAATTATTTAGACTTTTAAAGGTGTGTAGGATAGCATAAGTAATTATAATTTTGAAAATAAAAATAGAAAATTTATAGTTCAAATTGGATTTGAATCGTCAATTAATCGTCGATTTAAGTTCAAATTTTAACATCTACATGAACTTTAAACAACTCTTGAATTGCCGGTTCCGATTCAAAATCTGGACCAATAGTTTAGTCTGATTTCGATTCATCCACAATACGATTTAGTTTTAGTTCAATTTCAATTCAAACTAAACCGATAACCATGCTTAATTGAAGTTAGTGGATTCTACTATTAATGTGAAGTCATGATGCCATGTCAACAAAGAAAAAAATGTCAAATAACTAAAAACTTAGACCAGGTCTAAATTTTATCTAGACTTGGACTATGGTCTTACTCATGGAAAAAATCAATGAGAGTAACGTATTTTATTGAAATAATAGTATTTCTGATTATACATTTGGAAAAAAATGATAAAATTATAATATTTTTAAAAATTTTTTTATTATTATTGGTTTAATCCATAAGCGTAACCATGGACCTGGTCTAAACAATTTTCAAAAAAGTATGAGTTTTGAGAAACAAAAAAAAAAAAACTAAAAAAGTATGAGTTTTTTTTTAGCTAATTCTTTTAATTTTGACATGTCATAAACTTATTTTTTATTTTAAAAATTAGATTTTTAAAAATTATGTAATTTTTATAATTTATTTATTTTAAAAATAAATTATTTTGGATTACGATCTCAAAATCAAATTTAAGTTGAGCAGAAAGTGTGTAACGTATCTTTATGTTATAATGTTATTTTAATATTTTTGAATTAAAATTTTTGTTTTTAGTTTATTGATTATTATTAAGTGACTAATTAAATAATAAATTTTAAATAATAAGTTTACACCAAAGATTGGCAGTTGTTATTTAGAGAATCATTTAAAGAAATCTAAATTTACATGATTAAACTATAATTAATTATATACTAAGTATGATTATGTACTAAGTATGTATATACAAATACCATGAAACAACTCGTACTAATTTTTTTTTAAAAAATTAGCTAAAGTAGTAAATATGGATAAAGCTCATAATTTTTTGATCATTTAGCTTTTCATTTTGCCGACATAGCTTGATGATACGACGTTTATGTGTCAAAATGTGAATCCTATTACGGGCAACATGAAAAATTTCGTAATAGACATAGGACAGAAGCTATAATTGCGATGAAAAAATAAATTTATTATCACAATTCTTAAAATTAAAAAGATCGACTAAATTTACAAAGACGATGTAAGTTCAAGTCTTTTGTGTCCTAAACAATACAATATAAATTGCGATGAAAAAATAAAATTATTATCACAAATTCTTTAAATTTAAAAAGATCGACTAAATTTACAAGACGATGTAAGTTCAAAGTCTGTTGTGTCCTAAACAATACAATATTATATATATATATATATATTACTATATATATATATATATATATATATATATTTAATATATCTTATAATTGTTTTCACTCAATAAAATATTAAATTTTTGGCCAATTAATTGATTGCTTTTAAAACCGAAAATCTAGTTTCTGAATTTTGTTTATTTCGACGATTAGTGCATTTTATCCACTTAAATCAATATCTAAAGTCAAAATTTCTTAATTTTGTCCAAAAAAAAAATATAAATAATGACTCATTTTCTTTTTAAACGAAGCAATTAGATTAAGTAGATTTTCACACCAATTCAAAATGAGCTGTCCAATTTCATTTTTAATGGACAGGAGTTGGCGCTTGGATGGAGTTACCATACATCTCAAATATAATATGCATATAAACCCTAGATAAATAATAAAAAAAATCACATAAATCTAATTAGCATGTGCAACTTTAGGCCAACAAATCAATCATTTTTTTTTTTAATTTTTTAAGTTAAAAATGCACTTTGGCAACTGTTACAACCAAATTGAAAAGAATAAAAGAATTCAAAATCCAATGACATCAAGCTACAAACAACTAGGCTTCTATACTGTGCAACCTTTATATTTCAAATTAAATCGTGCTTAAGCAATTTAGTTAAAGCAATCAATATATGTAAATAATGAAATTTAATTTTAATTTTTTTTATTTAAACTGATCATATCAAATAATAATTAAACAGTAATTTTGTTGAAAAGGGCGGGGAATTACTGTAATTTTTATAATTAATTAACGTTGATGAGGGCAGAGAAAGTAATGTGGTTATACAATATTAATAAGGATGTTAGGCCGCGACCATCGTAGGCAATTGAAACATTTCACCCCTACATTTAACTCATAAATGTCCAATTAAATAATATTAGCATCAATTAAGTTTCCATTTTTGGAATTTTTTTTTAATTTTCTGGTTCTTTTTTCTTTGACATGATTTTTTGGTGTATAAATAATAAAGAATGAAATATATGTTGGTGACTGGAATAGTAAGCATAATGGGCAAAGGACTTTTTACTAGTAGTATAGTATCAGAGGTATCGTAGGTATCATGCTTTCCATTTTCCTTTATTCAAATAAATATTTTTACTTATAATATCTTATAAAAATTAAAAAGTAATTGGGATAACAAAATTAATTAAATCATATAAAAAATAGTGGCATCCAACAAAATTAAAAAATAATAAATAATATTCATATGAAAACGCAAAAGAAAATTAAAAATAGTGGCAGTGCATATATAAAAGATAGGGAAGAGGAAAAGATATTAGAAGGCGAAAAGAGGGAGAAATTCTAAAAGATTAGGTGTAAAAAAAAAAAAGTAACGAAAGTTAAAGAAAGTCCACATGTCATCCGGTCTGGAAATCAATTTAATCAGCAAAATATATTTTATTATTACACAAATACATGTTTGAAATATTTCTGAATTACAAATTAAAGTTTAGACACAATAAAACCGATATCCTCTGAGTTGAGGCCCAACAGAGCTAGGCTTGTGTTGCAAAGCAGCCCAAGAAAATTACCATCAAAACTGAAACGCACATGCCTTAGCCCAAAATGGGAACAACTTACTAACGTGGCAATGCTAAGTTAAAAAATGATGGGTGAAATATACCAATTTTTATTTGTTACGATGTTTAGATTAAGATTTACTTTAAGAGTAAAATACTTTTTCATTTCTAAGTTACTGTCAAATTAACATTTACCTCCTTCTACTATCAATAAATAACTTTGGTGTTTCTAAATTAATAGTCCGTTACATTAACGGATCCTTTCATCCAATTTCACTCTAAATTGACGTTAAAGAAATGTTAAATGTCTAAAATAACCTTTGTCCATGTGGAAAGGGTTACTTTGTCGTTAGAGGAAAAACTAAATGACATATTGTGTGACTGTTGAGTTTTTTTGCTTAAGAGCAAAGGATATTGCAGAATCGATTTTCATGGAGAGAGCACAACTGATGAAGTGAAAATCCTAACTTAGTTCATCGATTCTGTGAGAGGAAGGGTCGATTATCGTGTTCTTCTTCATTTTGGCGTTGAGAACTCTTTTTTCTAGGTAAAGTTCTACACTTTTTTTACCGTTCAATATATGGTTGCCGCCTTTGGATAATATTGAGGGTCCATATTTTTTCCTTTGAATTTTAATTGAAATTTTTGTTTATGTTGTAAAGCTTTGATGTTAAAAGAGTAAAAGTTTAGCTTTTTAGGGTTTTTGACAATAAAAATTGGAATGGAAACTAATATAGGGGTTGTTAGTTTGGTTTTAAATGGACTGTTAGTTTCGTTTTTTGCTATAAAAGGTGGTTTGAGGATTATTTGTTTTGGTTTTAAACTCATACATACTTGTTGCTTCGAAACCTTCTACCTCCTGTTTGCTTTGATACACTGTTACTTTTTTTAATTTAGTTTATCGCTAAAACAGTATTGTTTTGGATCATTAAGATGGATGATCGGGTCTGGTATATAATAGAGATGACATACGGGACTCAGGAAGTGGTATTGACAATGTTGACCCAAATAAATACTCACACTTGGAGATGCTAAATAATGCCTACAAGTTGTTTAATATAAAAGTTGATTTTGTTGAACTCATTGCTGGGGATAATATGAAGATTGAGAAGGATGATGATGTACTTTTCATATTTGAGATGTTTAAGGACACTCTTGTTGTCCTAGTTCATGTAATTGCAGTGAATACATCCTTTGCGATGGTGGTTCCTGATAGTGATTCAGATGTTGTTGGGATTGTAGCAAGTAATGTTGGTGGAAATAGGGCTCAAACAAGGGATGAGGGAGAAACACAAGGTGAGGGAATGACACAAAATGAGGGAGAAACACAAGTTGAGGGTGT